CATAGCAATCTTGAAAAACATCATACACATGAATAGACTGTTCCAAATCGGTGCCGTCCCACATAACCTGAAATACAAAGTTCCGCTAATTTATCACTAGCTGGATCATTTCCAGGCATCGTGCAACAACTACGATTTCTCGAGGAGAAACACTTTAACCCAGGCTGGAACGCACCAGGCTCTGCCATCATGCGTCTTGCACTATTTCGTGCTGTAGCAGGGTCGAAATGCATCACAGTAGCCATAAATGTGACATACTGGCTCTCGAAGTTCAGAAAGTTGTGCAGTCATATGGCATGTCAGTTGTAGATTCCGGCTTCAATGAACCGAGAAATGGAAGGTTGCTAGTGCGCGAAGAAGACCCCACTAGAAAAGTTGAATTTAAAATTTCCCCTCAAAATTCCAATCTTTCAGCTTTTCTCAAACTCAAGTTAGCAACTTTCCTGCCAAAATTTTCAACTGCTCATATTCGAGAAATGGGCCGCTCAAAAAAGCAGAATTTGATTTTCTTTGGTTGTATATGGGTAGGGGACATCCCCTAAATTCAACTTTCTAGCTTTTCTCGCTCCCAAGTTAACAGTTTCTCTGCCAGAATTTTTGCGTGCCCGTACATGACCTCCGGGCGGTTCTAAGACGCTGAATTTGAAGTCTTTTCGTCGCACATGAATATGAACATTGTCCTAAAGTCTCAGCCTTCTAGTTCCTCTCGTTCTCGAGTTCGCAATTTTCCCGCCAAAACTTTCACACGCTCGTACGCAGGACCGAGACGTTTGTAAGGGTTGGCACCACTGTCCTGGGGTGACATTTGGGCGTGGAATCAACTGGTGAAATTTTGGCGTCGAAGTTTGCTTGGCTGCCGAGTTGAAATACTCGGATAGACGAACACACACACACATACAGAGAGGGTCGTTGCAACACGCGTTTTTACATTTGCATGTAAGGAAAGAAGCACAAAAAGTCTGTTATCAACGGAGGCCCCGATGCATTCTTTACATAAACTAAATTTAGTACTAGAGGTATTTATTAATAAAAAACATAAAATATTATTAGCACAATTGGCTGATATGCAAAATGTCAGCAAAACTTGTTTACTTCTCTCGTTATTACGGATTTATACGATATTCGCCACGAACAGGGCCTTTCTTCGAAAATTGTCCTGGGCAAGGAGCAGTCAAACCACTCTTTTCACTTTCGGACGCAACGTGTTACCAACATACCACCGGGCCCTATGCTCCCACACAGTAAATACACTCCTCTGAGCTGAGATTGCCGCCAGAGGGGTGTATTTGCTTCTTGTGCAAACTTCCTGGCTAGAGATTTAAAAAAAAGGAATTTTAGGCTGCAGCAACAAAATCAACTGTGCAAACTTCCTGGCTAGAGATTTAAAAAAAAAGAGTTTTAGACTGCAGCAACAAAATCAACAAACAGCATCGGTGCATGCATCAGTTTCCCTGCTTATCCGAGAGATGGGACATTTATCAATGCACTTCCGGCAGCAGTTACGTAATGTTTCCCTGTCAGATTCGCCGGACAGTCCGTAACCCTCGGTAAATCGTACTCTTGTTTCGTCCAGCAACTTGAAACTGAGAATGCCATTTCCAATTGCTATTCCCTGCAAATGACAAATATAC